GGAACGAAGTGACGATTGTGGGAAGGGTTTGGTTCCACTCCAGCGGGTTGACGAACAAGCAAGGTGAAAGAACGAAATGAAGAGAAGGAAGTCAGAAAGGTAAAGTTGGGTTGGCAATATTTTTATTTTTTTCATAGGGTGGAAAACTAAAATCGTTGAGAGAGGGAAATTTTACGGAAAAATTAAAAAAGAGGCTCCAAATGTTCCCTCTGGCACTTTTCAAATTTGTTTTTCCTTTTTCATACGATTAGAAATTAAAATGGGAAAGGAGAGAATGAAACTATTACAAAATGGCTCTAAGATTCACGCTAATTAGTCATTACTAAGGGGTCGTTTGCCGGTTACTTTTGGCTATTGAAGTCAAGTGAAAAGTAAACAGAAATTAATAAACCGGAAAATTGGCAAGTTGATGGTGTATTATCATGTCACTCCAAAGAAACATGGTCCATTTTAATGAGCCAAGCCGAACTCATTCTCGGCTCTTTTATGAACGAGCTAATACGATCCGAACACGACACAACTCATTTATTGAGTTTGGGCTCATAATTTCGATCAAAATTCTGGCTCGAGCTAGCAAACAACTCATTTCATCCTAATTAGTCATTACTAAGGGGTCGTTTGCTTGGTGGAGTTGGATAACAACAAGAAGTTCACTCTAGAGGTAAAAAGGCAAACATGATTTTATTAGGGTTTTGGGTTCAGAGTTTAGGGTTTAGAGTTCAAGGTTCAGGGTCTAGGGTTTAGGGTTTAGGGTTCAGGGTTCAGGGTTCAGGTTCAGGGTTCAGGGTTTTGTTGGTTAAGTGGCAAGCAAATTGTTTGCGTGATTCATATTAATAAGCGTACACAATTGAACAAAGAATTTTGATTGTAGTCCAGCGGATGGAAGTTTGCAATGCCAATTTATGTCTTGGGTTCGACACCCATCAGAAGCATTTCAGTTTTGGTTTTAAGTTATTACTATTGGGAATAAGCCCGCGCTTCGCTGCAGGATGATTCATATTAATAAGCTTACACAATTGAACAAAGAATGTTGATTGCAGTCCAGCGGATGGCAGTTTGGAAGCCTAATTTTTGGCTTGGGTTCGAAACCCATCAGCAGCATTTCATTTTTGGTTTTAAGTTATTCCCCTTGCAACTTATTTCATTAAGGACATCTGCATATCAATATTGTCTAACACTGAATATAGGTACTTCCCTCAAAAAAAAAAAAAAAAACACTGAATATAGGTACATATGCAAAAGTATTTCCCAAAATGTGTCCTAAGCATTCACAATAGATTCACAGTTTGACTGAACTACCTAATTAAGCCAGGTGGTAGTTGTTAAATGACAAAAGGCTAGACCAAAAGTGTTGTCAATTATGTCAGGGCTTAGGTAGAAACAGCAAAAGGCGGTCAATCAGTAGTAGTTTTCCTGATTCAAAATGTAGCTGGTCGAAGTTGATGTTCAATCGTCGAAAGCACAAGGATCCCTAAGTGTGGCAACCCTGATGTGCGGCACGGTGCTCTGACCTGGGTTTGGCCATGCAATGTACAGTTCTGCTGCGAAAGGTCTTTTTGCAGTTTTTCTTGATGATGTCTTTTATTTCATCTTCGTTCAGTTTGAGATACTTTGCCGGCATCATGCAGAGTATTGACAGAGCTGCCTCGTGGTTCAGTACAACATCGGCCGCGGATGATTCAGATTTGCACCTTGCCTCGATGTGGTAATGTAGTCTGGTCATAATAGAAGCTCGTTAGGTTTGTTGAGAATAATGCAAGCGTTCCTTGCCAAAAGTGCAAACCGGTCAATTTAAATATTTAATCTCACCTTGGCGTTTCCCGAGTGGTTCTGCAAGCATCTATTTGGCATAGGACATGAGTGAACTTGATTATGGTTCGGTAGAGGGTCTGAAATATAAAAATTGTTTTTGCCAGGTTAGAGTGCACGGCAATAGCAAGTGAAACATATTTGAATGTTGGGATTTTTCAAAGCATCATAATATACCTCACGATTTTGTGGTATTGAACTCAAGTCTTCTTTTATCTGAGCAAGTGTTCTTTTTGGGGGGCGAGGGTAGCGTAAGTATCCCATCCTTTCAGCTGTTCCATAGATTATGTACTTGATCGGTTTGCGGCATGGCAGAAACCTGAGTTTTGCAAATAGATGTCTATGTTAGGCTAAGTTGTTGCAATGAAAGCATATTTGAAGTGAACAAATTGTGTTAGAGATTGTTAGGAAATCAATACCTGTTCATGACTCTTTCAGTGGTCTCATTGTATGAACTGATAATCAGACGACTGGCTTGTGTCGATTCCAGCTCATATATACCATCATCGTTGCATGCATCGGGCACGGAGACTACCGATGTAACTGTGGTTATCAGCGGGAGGTGCGACTCTACATCTGCTGCTTGTTGGAGGTAACCAGCGACATCGTAGCCACAGTACTTCACAACAGCCTTGTTCCCACTGTTTTGCAAATGCAAACAAAATATAAATTATTCGCTGTCGAAAGTTTTAACGAGCTAAGGTACATAGTTTAGTATACCTGTAGTCTTCAATAACCAGATGGAAATCAAGCATGCCATCTTGGAGGGCAGTTGGTACTGTGATTCGCCGTACGCAGCCTGTGACATCTGTAATTGCATAGATGTTATGGGATTTTTAGTGTGTGTTGGTCGTGAAAGTGATGTACATTGCTTTACCTGCGTGGCAGTGGAAACTTTCAAACTTTGCAGGGACCATTGAGAAATGAGATTTCATGAATGAGTCGAGGGGAAACTTAGGATTGTTCTAGTCTTCTTCGATGTTGTCAATCAGTTGCTCAGAGTTCATGAGCAGCCGCAGTTCTCCTGGGACAATGCGTTTGTTCTTACTCGAGGGGATTGTAACGATAATGCTTAGGCGATACAGACGACCAACTTTGATCCTCGCCATCACGTCATCAATGTCCTTTTCATATGCCAGAGCTTCAATAACTCGTTTCTGCGGGATTAGCAGGTGTAAAAGAATGTTTAGATAAGCATAAGCAGCTGGTGTTTTTTTTGCTGGGAAATCGTAAACAAACCTTTTTGTCCATCCAGAGCATGCGCAATGCTGGCGTTTTCCAAACCTCTCCGTCAATGACTTCTGTCCACGTCTTTAGAAGCCGAGCTATCACAGTACGGTTGTTGGTTCCCAACCGCAAACCTCGAAACGTCATCGAAGCACAAATGGGGTCTACAATAGAGACAAGAAACACACTAAGTGGAGTCACCAGTAAGGTTTTGCGAATCAATCGAATCCAGTACCAATTTAGACCTACAGAAACCAAAACATCGAACCTTGGGGATCGGTGGGGTCCTCGTAATCCAGCGAGGCGACTGGGTTGTCTCGGCGGAAAACTGCCATAGTTCGTTGGTCCGCTGCGATCGTAGTAATCTTTATTAGAGGAATATGATGTTTTCTACTGAGTGGCGTGCTTAGGACCAGATAGTGACATACCTTGGCGCTAGGGTTTTCACCGTGGTCGAAAGGGGCAGTTTTTACCGCCGATGCCAGCGAAGATCTGGAACGAGGTCTGTGTTGTCGAGGGAGGCAAGATCAGGGCTTAAGTAAATTGAATGCGGCCTAAAAAAGACAGGCCGGAAGGCTGATTTGGGCCTTCTGGCCCAATGGTTGCTGCTTTTGGCCACAAATGTACATACCTGTTATTCAAAGGTTTCATCTTCGGTTTAAACCAACAGGCAATCTCCAAATACGACTGCCTATACGATACATCCAAATACACAATCCAATGACAAAAATTTCAGGTTGGCTAATTTCTTTGGAGTGACATGATAATACACCATCTACTTGTCAATTTTCCGGTTTATTAATTTCTGTTTACTTTTCAATTGACATCGATAGCCAAAAGTAACCGGCAAACCTTCACGTACCTACTAATGTACTACGCGAAGGACATACTTACAAGCAAAAACCATAAACCCTAGACCCTAAAAACCTAAAACCCTAAACCCTTAACCATGAACCCTGAACCCTGAACCCTAAACCCTGAAACCCTACACCCTAAACCCTAAACCCTGAACCGTAGACCCTAAACCCTGAACCCTGAACCCTAAACCCTAGACCCCAAACCCTAAACCCTAAACCCTAAACCCTAAACCCTAGACCCTAGACCCTGAACCCTAAACCCTAAACCCTAACCCCTAACCCCTGGACCCTAGACCCTAGACCCTGAATGTTGAACCCTAAACCCTCTGAACCCTGGACCCTGAACTCTAAACCCTAAACTCTGAACCCTAAACCCTAATAAAATCATGTTTGCCTTTTTACCTCTAGAGTGTACTTCTTGTTGTTATCCAACTCCACCAAGCAAACGACCCCTTAGTAATGACTAATTAGGATGAAATGAGTTGTTTGCTAGCTCGAGCCAGAATTTTGTTCAAAATTATGAGCCCAAACTCAATAAATGAGTTGTGTCGTGTTCGGATCGTATTAGCTCGTTCATAAAAGAGCCGAGAATGAGTTCGGCTTGGCTCATTAAAATGGACCATGTTTCTTTGGAGTGACATGATAATACACAATCTACTAATAAAAGAAAATAATAGTACTACTATTATTGAAGCCAACGCCGACCTACACAAACAAGCAACCCTAATGAAGCCAACGCCGACCTACACAAACGCTGCAGTTGCTTTCCTGACTCCTACTGCTCTTCAACTTTTCTTTAACACGGAACCGCCATCGCCTCTCTCTCTCTCTCTCTCTGATTGATTACACGGAACCCTGAACCCTGAACAGTTTTTTTTTTGAGAAACCGCAGAACAGTCTTTTCCCATTCCCTCCATTCCCTTTCTCTTTGGGGTAAAAACAAACAGTCTTTTCCCATTCCCTTTCTCAAAATCACCCCGCTTTTTCTACCAAAAAAAAATCACCCCGCTTCCTTCCGTTCTTCACCTGCAATTCTGCAAGAAACCCTCGATGTCGAACCCATCTTCTTCGTGGGTCGCCCAATTCAATCCGGGCGACCGGGTCGAGATCCGCCCCCGCGATGTATGGTTCCGCGGCTCCTGGTACGCCGGCACCGTCGTCCGCCGCGAGGCGAAGAACACCAATCGTTACGTAGTCGAGTACGACCAGCTCTACGCGGACGAATCTGGGGAGAAGCTGCTGCAAGAAACCCTCGATTGGGTTCAATTGCGTCCGCCGCCGCCGCCTCCCGAGAAGAAGGTCCAGTTCAAGTTCGAAGACGAAGTGGAGGCCTTCTACAGCGACGGCTGGTGGGAAGGGGCTATTATTGCGGAGCACTCCGGCGGGAAATTCGCGGTGTTCCTCAGAGGCTTTGACGAGCAGATTGTGTTGGAAGAGAAAGATTTGAGGTTGCCTGTTCAGTGGGTTCAAGGGAAGTGGGAGCCGCGATTCGAAGAGGTTCAGCGGGAGAAAGAGGTGAGCTAATTCGATTTTATGACTTTTCCTGCTCCGTTGCTTGGTATAACAATTTTAGGGAATTTTGAATCTCGATCTAGTTAGGTTGAGGAAAGTAGAGAATGTTGGGTATTAGCGGAATTTTTGGCTCTTGTTGCTTACAAACACAGAGATACAGAGACTTCTTTCTTTCTTTTATGTCTCTTCCCCATTGCACTATGACACACCCCATGCATACATATATAAACTCAGAGATGACATTTGTTCTTTTTCACAATGTCTGAACCTCGTTGAATCGCTTCATAAACATGCAGATGTGGCTAAACTCAAACTTTTCCAAGGAAGTGATGAAGTTCACTCAAGGAATGCAAGTCGAGGTGCTAACTGACGAAGACGGTTTGAAAGGTGCTTGGTTTGCTGCAACAATTATTGAACCTTCGGGTGAAGACAAGTACCTTATTGAGTACTTGTCCCTGAGGAATGATGATGATACTGAGTTTCTCAGAGAAGTCATTCGTGCTTGCAACATAAGGCCTTGTCCGCCGGAGATCATTGTTGTGGATGCATTCAAGGTGTGGGATGCAGTAGATGCTTACTACAACGAGGGCTGGTGGGTTGGCGTGATTGCAAAGGTCTTGATCAACTCCAATTACGAGGTTAACTTTATAGAGTATGATGAGAAGACAACGTTCAATCAGGCTGATTTGAGGCCACATCAGGACTGGCTAAACGGCAAATGGGTTGTTCCTTAAGATGTCTGAATTTTATGCTCTCAATTCTAAAAACACTACTAGCATTTGTTCTTGCATGTGGTCTTTCTCTTTCGGTGTTGTCTGTTACCGTTGTGCATCTGATGGTGGGTGTCGGTGGTGGGGTTTGGTGGTGTTTTTTTTTTCCTTGCTTCTTTTTTTTTGGGTCTGTTGTTTTTGGTGGCTCCAGGTTCTCTTAGACTAGCCTACAATCCTTCCTGGATTTCGGTCCAAACTCTCTATCACATTCCTATTTTGTAATGAAATCTGTCCGCCACAACTACTTATTTTATTCTTCTTTGCTCAACTCACAATTGCAATCATGTGGACCTTAAATTTGGAGGCTGATTTGGGCTATAATAAGGATTAAGCCCAACGAAGCAAATTAATGGATAATCTCCAACTTAATGCTAACAAATTAATGACTAATCTTCCAAAAAAATTTGATAGACCCCGTATTAAACCGACATCTTTTAGTTAAACACTTTAACCAAAAATAGTTTACCGATCAAGAACACAAAGTTACCATGCCCTCTATTCCCTCACCACACGTTGGAGAGCCAAGCAAAGGTATAATTGTCGTTTCAAGTAATTAATCATTTGCTAGTGTTTTGTATTATTTGTTTCTTTTACATACCACCCAAGAGATCCAAGTGCACTCCCATGGCAAACCCACGTGGAAAGTAATGAGGCAACTATGTATTTCCACCCCATTTTTCCTCTCATGGTCGGGTATAGACCAAACTAGTAACAAGCTGAGTCACCCTAGTTGACCACCCATGGAGAGTTTCTCCAATGACATGCACGTAGCAAAGGAAGTGATGGTTGAGTTACATTTAGTTTCTTTGCTTGACAAACATAAAGCATTTGATCACTAAATAAAACATAAACTGATTACCAAAATAGCTAGTGATAAAAAAATATGCTGCTTCCCACAAGGATCGAAACCTTGACCACCAGGTGAGAGGGCAAGGCGAGATTCCACTAGACTACAGAGACTTTTATTGTTTTGTTTCACGTTGGAATAGAAAGCAATTAGGGTTTCGGGAATGTTTGGTTATAGTTTGGAACACCAGAAGGAAATTGAGCTTAAAGAAAACGAGATATTGATCGAAAGCCCCTTCACTGAGGAAGGACAATTGTTATGAACTTCAATTCAGGTTTAACTTATGATTACAGTTTATTTTTTTTATGGACAATTGTTAGGCGTCATGTTTGGCTATTTATTTTTGTTAAGGCAATTTCCCTAGCAATGGACTATATGTTTTTATGCATTGAGCTTATGTATCTGGCCACTTATGAAAAGAAAAGTTTGTACTCATAGCTTACTCAAGGGATCTGACGATTTTAGGAAATCATTAATACATTTATCGAATTTACAATTCTGTTATTACCAATATTATATATACAATGACAGTTTAACATTTTTTAAAGACTAAATTTTAAATGCTATATTTTAGCTGGAAAAATGGGCTTATTCTCTATGTGGCTCATGAATTAATCGGGCCCAGAGTTTTGGGAAAACCCATGGCAAATGACTACACCCAGGCAGGCTGATACATTCCAAATTCACCTATCTAAATTGGGCCTGTGGGGTTTTTTTTTATTTTGTTTGGGCGGCTTCCTAAATGCATTGGCAGCGAGTTCCAACTCTAAACTCTAGAGTACAACAATTTAAAAGGAATTAACAAATAGCAAGGAAGGTGACAGTAAACAAAGAGCAAAATTATATGATGCTCAAAATATGGTTACATGAAGGACCACCTCAAAAGGATAATAACCTTTCAAAAAATATTTGCGTTCACATATCCATTACGCGGTTAGATAATTCGAAATTAGAGCGAGGTGGACCATTACTAACATTAATCCGATTATATTAATAATACCCTACGCTACTTAGTCATCTAAAATCGGGAACAACTTAACCAAGAAGAGATCAAGACGATTCTCCACGTTGTTCCAAGGTCCGAATGTGACCAAGACCCTATATGGCGACTCACCAATCCTGTTGAGTAGTGGAATGTACTCCACATCTTCCATCTCATCAGGACCAACAACAGCAGACATGACTCGCCGTAAGTAAGCTGATGGAAATACGACCTCAAGATCGGTGATAAAATCTTCAATTGTCAAGTGAAGCAAGTATATGCTGGAGTCGGCATGCCAAGATCTCCTCAATTCTGTGACCCAGCCATTGAAAATGTATGACTTGCCCTGGTACAAGCCAAAACATAAGGAGTTCAAAATAAGACCAAATTAGATGCAAATTCTTTAGATAAAATATAGATTCCGGATAGATAAAATACATGTTATCTGATTCACCTGATTAGCAACATCCAATTGCATAGGGATAAGATCTATCGTTTCTACATTGTCCCAAATTCTTGCGGCAACTTCATATTGCAGATTTGAAACGAAGTCTCCCATGGAAAAGAATCTATAATTTAGATTAGTAGCAATATTAGCAACTCTATCAACAAATGTTAGAGCTGTAAAACTAATCAACTAATTATGTAAACCCGAATATACACAAACAATAGCAACCCAATACATGAATGTGTCAATACAAACATACAAAGTTTCCTTGGAGTATCGAACTAAAAAAAAAAAAAAATCTGGATTATAAGATTGTAGTAGATCTGGAGAAACCTAATTTGAAGGCCAGCAAGCGAATGTAATTGATGAGTGGTCTGAAAAAATTGGTTGAAGTTCTTGATGAGAGGAAAGGGGAGATTTTGCCGAGGTAGGGTTTTAGAAATTACCTTTTAGAGATGCTGAGATAGGGCTAACGTCGATCAGGCAGAGAGAAGGCCTGGAAAATGAGTGCATGCACTGGAATGGGTTTCCAGTTGCTTTGTTGGCCGGAGAGTGAGCAGAGCAGAAGAAGGCGTCAGGGAGGAAGGGAGTTGAAACGTCTTCGGCTGGGTCTTTACGCGGTAAGACTTTAGAACTTACCTCCTGGAGATGTAGAGATGGTACTAATATCGGTCAGTCAGGGAGGGCTGGAACATGAGTGCATGCAATGGCTTGGTTGGACTGTTGGTCTTCTCGCCGGCGAGTGAATAGTGACGTCGTGACTCGGTGCCGTTGTTGGAGTCCGCGCGAGTGGTGATTCGACGGTAGGGTTGTTCGACGAGGGAGAATGAGCGAGCGTAGTGGGAGGGTCGGGGTTTGCGGAGGGAGCGGGACGCAGGAGAAGCAGAAGATGGCGGGTTGGGGATGTGGATGGTCAGGTTTCTGTGGAGGGACTGGAGGGTAGGTGAGAGCGATGGAGGAGGGAAAGGAAGAAGGGAGTTAAACCGTCTTCGGGTGGGTGGGAGGTTTTTATTGTTTTTTGTTTTTTGGTTTTTGTATTTGTTTGATCCAACCGTCGCTATGGCTAGTTTACCCGCCCAACGGGCCGGGCCCTGCGCTAGTACAAATAATGCGAAAAGGCGTTGTGCCGCCGATCTGCTATTGCTAAGGGCCTTATTGGGCCTGGTACAAAAGGCATGTTCGAATTCACATGAGGCCTTTTTAATGGCCAAAAAATACGAGGCCTTTTTAATCAATCGATCAGGTTATTTAGACAACAAATAATCCGAATCGATAGTGAACTAATAATTAGGATCTCAAAACAACCTATGGTACTTTAGCTGTCTAGCGAATTTCACTGATCATCTAGAATGACAAAGAACAATTGTTCCACGTGATAGGATCATCTCCGACAAAAATCGCATAAGATCTTCCTTGATCTATCATAACCTCATCGTGACTTGGCCATAGGTATCGATGTCATGAAAGTGCCTGATATAAATATATTTATAAGGAACAAGACATTCTACCTCAACCGACAAACTTCTATCAATGTAAAACTTCTATCGATGTCAAGTCTCACTTTTCAACTATAATGTTATATACTATGTTACATGCGTCTTAGTATATGAAATCGTTTACGCTACAAATTTTTTTAAAGCAACACTGCATCCTGCATCTCTTTTATAATAACAACCAATCCATTTTACACGCATCAGTGTCAAGGCAGAATATTGAACCATTCGGAACATGGAGCTTTCACGTTTATAAGTTTGTCAAGGCAGAATTTCAAACTTAGTCACTAGACTGCACTACAAATGCCCTTTCACGTGGTTTAGCAAAGGTTTGTTTTGGGATGTACTAGTCCTTTGTACTAGTTTTGGGTTAACGCAAAGTTGCAAGGTGGAGGTGGGCACAACGGTGGTGTGTGACAAAAATGACATGTTGTGTAGAATTACTATTTATGAATAGTTGTAAAATAAAATTCTAAATAGAAAAATGAAATTTTTTCCAAAAACTTGACTAGCAAGGAGAGGGTAATCAACTATGAACAAGTGATTTCAAATGAAATTATAAAAAAACTAAATATAATGGTTGAAACTAGTATTCGAACCCTACACCTATTCTAGCAAACTTAATAGTAAACTACTAGCTTAACCACTAAGTTTGCCAACGTTTCTTGTTTGTATGCTAAGTTTATGGAAACTAGCCCACATTCCATCTCGTGAGTGGTTGAGAAACGATCAGAAGCTTCACTTCGATCGTCTTCTTCCTCGGCGTAATTCAAATTTCAGTTCTTTTTCTTTTCAAATTCAAACTTCAGTTTTCTGCTCCACATAAATCCACAAAATTTCCATAATAGCATACCGATACAACATGGTCCTATTATTGATTTTGAGGGTATGGCATATCTAGTTTTAACACAAATATGTGCGATAAACAAAATTCGCAGAACTTGACCCAGGAAGGTTTGACATCATCAATGATAGAACATTGAGGCGCCGCCGTTGATCTGTTAGTGACGGAACTTGGAAGCGAGGCTAATGGCGTCGGAGTCATCAAAGAGCATTTGTATCGTCGTGGGAGGACTCTCCGGTGGGGAGGTCACCCCTTTTTCTTTCGACGAAGGTCTCTGCAACTCGTTCGAGAAGCCATAACGCCAATCGCCAGAAAAAGCGAGCAGAGGAGAACCCTTCCTTCTTCTTCTGGTTGCAAGGATTCGAAATCCCTTCCGCAAGGAGAATCTAAGTTGTTGGTGAGCGATGAATTTGGGGCCGACAAGGGAGATTAGAAAGGGTAGGGAGAGGGCTAGCGGCGTCTAGCGGCGGAGGACGGAGGAACAGGGGAAGAGGATA